AAAAAAAAAAAAAAAAAAAGGCTTCAACAAAGACTGAGATGACAAAGACATTGAGGGTTAAGGCAACAAAACAACAATGGAAAAGTGCTTTGTTGGCTTCTTGAACTTCTCCCAATTTACCTGTCTAGATTTGACTAAGGCAGAATACAGGTAAATGTTGTGTGGCATAAGATTAGCTTCCACGATGCCCCCAGCCTTCATGACCTGTGAGATGCTACTACATTCTGAACAAGATGGCACTAACATGCCCTTGAGTACCTGGCTCTGGCTGGGTTTCACTGTAACCTACTCGTATCCAAATGTGAGAGTCATAATATTGAGAAACCCAAAAAATGTTTGTAGCTTTCACAAGCCTTATTTGTTCAAAAACAGATATACAAAAATATCTGCAATGGTGATGAGAACTCCACCCACAGAGGAGCCCTTCCCACAAACAGGAGATTGATGGCTGTGAATGAGAGCATGACTCTTGTATATTTGAGCCAGTAATGGCCAGCTCCACCATCAGCCGTAGGATAATTTGTGGGACCTTGGGGTACTGCCGATGTCATGTTTCAGCGAGATGCAGCCCAGCGACCACTCCCAGTCTAGCTGCAAGGCGCTGGAGCAAGAGCCCCAATGATAACCAACAGAAGGACCAGAGCAATTTACACCCTTCAACTGCTCCAGACTGCAAGTCAGATTCAGTGTTTCCTGGATCCATGTAAGCAATGCTTATAAGAAAGCTTGGTCTCATGAAAGCCCAGAGTTTTCAAAAGCTAAAACAAGAATACTTTTCCACAGAAATGAAGCATTGCTTCTAGTGGAACTTGGAAGCAAGGAGTGACTGTAGACAGGATTGATGGCACCAAGACTGTCCATGTCCCCATGGTCTCCAGCATCATGGTCACCTGGTATATCATCTGCTCAGAACTCAACACTATGATTCTTAGAATAGATTTTTAGCCCAAAATGTGGAGCTGCCACTGTCTTAAAGTGGCTTCTTCTTCATTGTGCAGAACTGGTTTTTCCAAAAGCTCTTTGACTATCTTTTATGTGCTTTTCTTTGTCTCTTCCTGTTCTGGGAATTCTGATCACCCATAAGGTATTTCTCTTCATGCTGTCCTACGTGAATCTTAGAGTTTCTCATTCTTTTTTCTGATTGTTCTTCTAGCTTACTAGTATTGAGAGATTTTTCTTCAAGTTCACTAATTCAGGCTTCCATAGATTCAAATCTCCTTTGTTTAACCAATGTATTGTCCATTTCTGAAATCTTAAGTATTACTCTTTTGAATTTCTAATTGCAGGTTTTGTATTGTTTATAGTCCTTTTTCTATTTTGTTTGATTGTTCTGTAGTGCTTTCCTGAAATCTTTCTTGTTTTCCTCGACTTTTTGTCAATCTTTTAGAGATACCTAAATATCATTCTCTTGAATTCTTTTTCAGGTTAGTTCCAAGGCCTTATTTTTCTCAAAAATGTTTTCTAGCTCTTCTTCTTGGTCTCTTGTTTGAGCCAGTCTGTCTTGTTTCCTTGTGTGGACATGTTCTTTTGGAGACATTGTGGTGGTGTATTCTTAGGCATGCACCAACTGCCTCTTGGTGGCTGTGATCAAATGAACCTATGTACTATTCTCTGTTCACTGTTCTAGTTCATTTCAGGATGGATTTATCTGGCATTGGTTGTTGTCATTGCTCCAGTACATAGCAATTGGTTTTGGCTCTTGCCCAGTGATTAAAGCTGTAGAAGGCACAGTTGTGACTGGGCTGTATGGACATGATTGCTGTCTTGTCAGGTGAGGCAAGAAGAGAAAACACACGTAAAAGAGAAGAAACAAGCAAACAATAGTGAATAAAGAAAACACTAAAGAAAAAAAGCAGGCAATAGCTAGAAAGAGTGCAAATACCAAATAGAGTAAAGATGAAGAGAAAAATAAAATAATAAAAATAACTAAACAAAGTTATGGAGAGGATTGAGTCAAAAGGAAAGAGATCAGAGAGTAGTAGAAAAGAAGGAATAAAAAAGACTAAAGACAGAAGCAACAATGGTTAAAAAAGAGAAGCAGAAGAAAAATGAAAAGGGAGACAGGATAGAAAGCAAGAGAAAGATACAAGGAAGAAAGAATAAACAAACAAAAACAATGAAAGGGAAAAACTAGGGCCATTTTTCAGAAAAGAGAAAATTCTGGGGTATCCTGCTAGCTAAGGTACCTCACAGCATAGGTTGGTGAGAAATACAGTAACACTCAACCCTAGATGGAGTTCCTGTTGGGCTTGGTATTGTCTGCTTTGGGTACCCAATCTGGAAGTATTTCATGCAGACCCCCAAAGCAGCTGGAGTTTCAGGTCTATTTCCATCCCAGAGGGCAGCTGAAGGAAGAGGTTCTGCTAATCCAGGGCTGACCAGTACCAGCTCTGCAGGTCTAAACTGGCCATACCTGATTCCAAGTGCCAGGGTTGGTGCTACTAGCTCCTCACACACTTTGATTTGACTTAGACAGACTGAAGAGTAGGAACTTCCCTGGGAATGTATGTAGGTGCATTCTGGCTACTCCACAGGTGACTAGGGTTATGTGAGGCACAAGGGGGGTGGGGGCGGGGAAAGGAACCTTTTCTTCACCAATAAGCAGTATGCCTCTGCACTACTTACTCCCCTCTTGCCTTCATGTCGCCCATAAAAGTTTAAGATGGCCACAGCAGGCCAGACCTGGCTGGCTGGCACAGATCACAAGTCTCTATTCTTTTTTTCCTCCCCTTTGCATCGGTTCAGCTGTTTCTCTTAGAGCAATAACATCCAGGACTGACTACAGATTGGAGCAGGGCTTGCCCAAGGTCTTTAATGGGGCTCCTGACTGCTGCACTCATCTCTGTACAACTCCGACCTCAGGAGAGTCTGAGCTTCCCTGGGAATGTATGTGGGTGGTGGCCAGCATTGCTTCTGGTAATCAGAGGAGTGTGGGGAACAAGAAAAAAAATGCACCGTAAGTCTCTGTGAGCCACAGGTATATGTTTCTGCAACAACAACCAATAGTTTTCTTATCTCTGAAGTGGCTCACTAAATCGCAAGATGTCTGTACCCATCTGGTTGGCTGGCACAGGTCACAGTCTCTCCTTTTTTTTTTTGCCATTTCAGCTCAGCTCTCCTAGTAAGCATTCAATCTTCTTCTCTGTCCCTTCATTTGAAGCTCAGATTTCCAGGTCTGTCAGCTACATCTGTTTCATATGGCTATCTACTCTGGTAGCGTCATGGTTAGGAGTTGGGCTGCTAATCTCAAGGCCAGCTAGTTCAAAACTTACAGCAATTCCATAGGAGAAAGATGAGGCTTTCTGCTCCTGTAAAGATTTACAGCCTCGGAAACCCTATGCAGGATCACTGTGAGTTGACTCCAGGGCACATAACCATCGCCAGCCACCATTTTTGTTGTAGAGGGTTTGTACAACCTTTCTGCCTCGTCTGCTATCTTGCTCACATTATGTACTTTTGAAGGTGATACTTAGACTGTGGCTTGAAACCTGAGTTTAAATACTTTTGATTCATCCTAGAATCAAAGGTGAAGATGGAGGCAAGATAGACCTTAAAGATACCAGTGAATTCAGTATTCAGACTTCCAGGTGGGAATTATTAAAAGTTTTCACAGTGGCAAATCTTGTCTTTAATTCCTGTACTAGTATACCCATAAGGTCACAGGGCAAATGTTGTGTTATTCTGGATAGAAGTTCAAATGTTAAAATTGAACTTTGGACTTAAAGTGACCTGGGATTTCAGACACAGTTTTATCATGGGATAGTGAACAAATTTTGCTGTTTTATGACAAATAAACTAGATCTCTGAGTCTTTAAACCATGCAAGGACCTGTTTTCTTAAAAGATTATCAGTAATTTAATTGGAAGAATATCTTATTTCTAAGAACTTGTTTTTAAAGACAGTAGACTCCATGGCACGTAACCACCACCACCACTCAAAAGAATAAGAGATAAGCAGGCACAAGGAAATTAAGTTTTTATATAAGGAGGTTTTTAATTCATAAGATTTTTGTAATTTATTTTAGATGTTCTTCTGCATTTTTTGAGGAAGAGAGATCAGCATTAAAACAGAAACGGCAGAAAATAAGGCTCTTACAACAGAGGAAAGTTGCAGATGTTTCACAATTCAAAGATCTCCCGGATGAAATTCCTTTGCCTCTAGTCATTGGAACCAAAGTTACAGGTAAGTGAAAATATTCTATATTAGTATTTTGATTTTTAACTTTTCACCAAGATAACCCCTGCTAGTAGAATGGCTTTTAATTTTAGAAGCTTAAAACCCTATGGTTCTGCATCTGTCTACTACAGTGTTACTGTTTCTTGCATTTGAAGTCTATTTTTTAAAGGAATTACAAAAAAGTGTTCTGGTTTTAAATAACATCTACCACAATGTAAACTAAAGCAAACTGCCACAAAGATAACATTTACTGCAATAAGTTGTTAGTTGCCATTGAGTTAGCTTTGACTCATTGCAACCCTTGTGTATAACAGAACAAAGTGCCTTGGGGTCCTACGTCATCTGCATGATCATCTTTGGATGTCCATTGTTGTGGCTATTGTGTCAGTCTCATTGAGGATTTTCCCCATTTTCTGTGACTCACTGTTTAACAACTATAATGTTATTTTCTGATGATGTATACAAAGTAAACAAGCTGAAATCTTACCATCCTCACTTACAAGAAGCATTCTGGTGGTATTTCTCCTTAAATTGATTTGATTTATTCATTCTTTGTCAGTCCACATTCTATTCTTCACCAACATCACTATTTGAGTTTATCTGTTCTACTGTTTTCCTTTTTCTTTGTTCAGCTTTTGTGTGAATATGAGGCAATTGAAAGACCTATGTCATCAACACAACATCATTTTTTACGACTTTAAAAGGTCTTTTGCAGTAGATTTGCTCAAATGCAATGTGGTGTCTGATTTCTTGACTGCTGCTTCCATGGACACTGATAATTTGATCCAAGTCAAATGAAATTGTTGACAACTTGAAACTTTTCTCCATTTATCATAATGTTGTTTATTAGTCCAGTTGTGAGTATTTTTGTTCTTCACATTTAGGCATAATCCACATTGAAGACTGTTAAAATTTTGAATGATTCTATCTTTTGCTTCTACAGCATTTATTTTCCTTTCCTCTAACCAGTCATGTCTAGTTAATTAGCACAATTATCCTTGTGGTCCTTGGATTAGGAATAATCCATTTCTAATTATTGAATAAAATATTAAGTTTTTAAGTTTAAATTATTCAGTAAATAGTTGCTCAAAATTTTGAAAGTGTACAAATTCTTTCAATTTTTTTATTAGTGATTGATTATGTATCTGTTGGAGAGAAATGCCATCGACGTCTTGAGTATAAACTTTAATCTTTACTAATTTGATAGAGAAATAAAATGACAATTCATACAGAAATAACAAGGGTTATTAGTGGTAGTTAGGTTAATAATTGTTCTGAAGAGCTTTTTAAAAAATGGTTGAGATTAATCAGGAAGTATTTTCTGGGGGAGGGGGGAATATGGTTACGGATTGAGTTGTGACCCCTCTATGTCTGTTATAATTTCACTTGAAAATGGATTTTCTTTGTTATGTACATGAGACAGGATTAGTGTAGAGTAGGTCTTGAGTCAGTTTCTTTTGAAATATAGAAGATAGCAAACAAATGAGCAGAAGTAGAAATAAGGGAAGAGAGTTACGAAACCATATGAAGATTGCCCAGGAGCACAAACTCAGAAGAGACAAGGACTTCTTCTAGAGCTGACAGAGAAAAAAGCCTTTTCCGAACCTGCATCCTGAATTTACACGTTTAGCCTCCTGAACTGAGAAAATAAATTTCTGTTTGTTAAAGTGCTATTTCTGTTTTAAAAGCACTAGATAACTACTAAGATAGGAACCTTGAGTTATATATTTATGTATCTTTTTCTGATTATAAAAGTAATTCATGTTTCCATTGTATTGTAAAAATGAATAAGTAAAAAAAAAAAAGAAGAAAAAATGAATAAGTAAGAGGTACATAGTAAAGAAGAAATTATCATGTATATGAAGTGCATCTGGAAAAAAACTAGATTTGGTTGTAAATCAATGTATAGTGACAGCTTACCATACATATACAGAAGTTAGACATGACATGGTCTCTTCCTTTGTCAACATCCACTCTCAAGGGTTACCTGCTTTAGAGTTACCTAGATCCCTGGTAAGTAGCCCTGGTGGCACAGTGGTTAAGTGCTTGGCTGCTAACCAAAAGGTAGCCTGGTGGGAGAAGATTTCATCGGGTGATGTGATGTTTTAAGCATACTTAAAGAATATATATTAGTTCTAAAAACCCCATATAAATACAACAAGCTTCAAAAAATTTGTGGAAACATGGAATTGAAAGATAATAGAATGTCCCCACAAGCTTTTTGAAGCCGTTCATAAATATACCTTTAAGCACTACATTGTTTGCTGTTGTTGTTAAGTGTCGTCAAGTCGGTACTGATTCATAGCAACCCTGTCTGTATAGGGTTTCTGAGGAGCTGCTGTTGGGTTTGAACTGCTGACCTTTCGGTTAGGAGTCTAGTGCTTATCTAACATCACCACTCCAGGACTCCAAGAGCTACACTGTAATTACTGATTCAAGAAACGCTGGTATGAGAATAAGTGACTTATTCTCTAGTCCAATTAGGAAATCCTTAAAAGTTCATTATGTTCAAATTTTAAAGACAGACGTTATTATCTGATAAGACTGAAAAATTTAAAGAGAATTCATAAACAAGTAGTCTTGATATAATAGAGAAAAGGTAGACATGTATATATCAAGGTATGGGAAAAATTGTATGAATCAAGTACTAGAGCTCTTTTTTTTTTTAAATGAAAATAAAATTTTATAAGCATTCTTAAAGAGGAAACACAATATCCGTGATCCCCAAACAGGTTTCTATTACAAAGGTACGTTCAGTGATAAAGAGAGCTTTTGAAAATTAAAAACAACAACAACAACAACCAAAACTATGATACTAAAAATGAAAAAAAGTCATTAGAAGGGTAAAAGGATAAAATTGAGAATATATCTTAGGAAGAAAAACAGCATTCGCAAGAACACTAAAAATGTTATAAAACTAGGTGAGAAATGGTAAAAAAAAATGAGGAACCATTCCAGTCATTCTGATGACTATTCATCTTTGGTACCAAAGGCAGGCATTCTTCCCTGTGTCCACTTTTTTTTGAAACTAGGATGCACCTTTGTGTTCTCTTCAGGGGTGGCTGTTTAGTAAAGGCAAATACAAAACAGGAAAAGACAGCTAACCAATGACAATAATACCTTACCCTTGAATACTTCTTTGGTTTTTGTAAAGTACTTTAACAGACTGTTTCATTTGATATTTGTAGCAGGACTGTGGAAAGGGAAAGGTCACCTTTTATCCAGGTAAGTGAATCAGGCGATTCTAAAGCGAATTAGGAATCCAGAAGGAATCAGATGTTGGGACTAGAGCTCTTTTAAAGCAGTGTCTTAACGTTTCTATTTTCAACTATGGCCCATAGGCCAAATTCATTTCACTGCCTCTTTTTATCTGGTCTATGAGCTAAGAATGGTTTTTACATGTTTTACGTGGTTGGAAAAAAATCAAAAGAATATTTTATGTCACAAGAAAATTATTTGAAATTCAAATTTCAGTGTAAATCAATAAACTTTATTGGAGCACAACCATGCTCATTAACTTTTATATTGTTTGTGACTGCTTTCACTTTCTGGTGGCAAAGCTGGATAGTTGCAACAAAGATCACATGACACACAAAGACTAAAATATTTGCTATCTGGCCCTTTACAGAAAAAGTTTCTCAACATCCACTCTCAAGGATAATACCCTACTTTAGTGTTACCTAGAACCCTGGTAAGGAGCCCTGATGGCACAGTGGTTAAGTGCTTGGCGGCTAACCAAAAGGTAGGTGGTTCAAACCCACCAACTGCTCTGAGGGAGAAAGATGTGATAATCTGCTTCCATAAAGATTTACAGCCTTGGAAACCCTCTTGGGCAGTTCTACTCTGTCTTTTAGGGTTACTATGAGTTTGAATTGACTTGACAGCAATGGATTTGGTTTGGCTAGAGTCCTGGTGTTGTTGTTGTTGTTAAGTGCCGTCGAGTCGGTTCCGACCCATAGCGACCCTGTACAGAGTCCTGGTGTAGCAATAGTTAAAACACTCAACTGCTATTCAAAAGGTTGACACCTCTACACACCCAGAGGCTCTGCAAAAGAAAGAACTGGTAGTCTCCTCCCATAAAGATTGTTGTTGTGAACTGTTGAGTTGATTCCGACTAATAGTGACCTAGTACAGGGTTTCTGAGGCTGTAAATCTTTACAGGAGCAAAAAGCCTCATCTTTCTCTCAAAGCAGGTTTGAACTGCCAATCTGTGGTTAGCAGTCCGGTGCTTATTCTACAGTATTACCAGTGCTCCCCCCATATAGATTACAGACTGGAAAACCTCAATGGAAGTAGTCTCTTCAGTCACATGAGGTCCCTTGGAGTCGAAATTGACTTAAAAACACCTAACAACAACAGAAGCACAGGTATAACTCAGAGATGTTGCAAGCTCGATTCCAGACCATGTCAGTAAGGTGAATATCGCTATAAAACAAATCACACACATGTTTTTCTTTCTCAGTACTTATAAAAGTTATGTTTACCCTGTACTAGAAACCAAACCAGATCCACTGCCATTGAATCAATTCCAACTCAGTAGCACCCTTATATAGGGTTTCTGAGAACTGTAAATCTTTATGGGAGTGGATTGTTGTTGTTGTCACGTGCCGTGGAGTCAGTTCCGACTCATAGCGACCCTGTACAGGGTTTCCTAGCCTGTGTAAATCTTTACAGGAGCAGAAAGCCTCATGGGAGCAGCTGGTAGTTTCGAACTGCTGACCTTGCGGTTCACAGCCCGATTCGTAACACCTATGCTACCAGAGCTTTTTTCTGTGGCGTGACTGGTGGATTTGAGCCACCAACTCTGTGGTTATTGGTCCAATGCTTATTCTACTGTGCCACCAAGAGCTGGTGGTTTTGTGGGTTAGGTGTTGGGCTGCTAACCGCAAGATCAGTGGTTTAAACCCCCCTTCTCCCCCGACTCCACAGGAGAAAGTTGAAGCTGCCTGTTACCATAAAGATTTAATCTCAGAAACCCTATTTAGGGCTGCTGTGAATCAGAATCA